ACGATGATGATGATGATGATATAACAGATGGGGGGGGGGAGGAGAAACGAAGAGGAAGTATGACAAAAGGTTGACGCAAGTGCACAACGACACTGTCCAAAAAGGCAAGTAGTAGGCGGCGGCTTGCAAAGAAACATGGTTTGCTTAAAACCTTGCTTGTTCAAGTAGTCTTATTCGCTGCGAACGCCGTCTCAGGAGGACTGGGTTTGGTTCAGGGTCAGTAAGTTTCCCACCAATTCTGGTTGCCGCAATTGGTAAAGAACGGCCAGACTCAGCCCCATAACATGCCCAGCATACCCAGCGAACAAAGCTTCATATTTGCCTCTCTTGGTGCCCAAAGAAGCCTGAAAGTTTAAAAAGGATGCACATCAACGATGAAGATAAAGGATAAAAGCCACTGATGTGAACCAATGAGTTCAATGAAGCTTTTGCATAGGAGGCCTGGAAGAGACACCGAGAAAGCGCTTTTCCACCAATAGGAGCGCAAATTGCTTCTACTGTTATTGAAGGTATTGCTTGCTAACCTGCATGCATCGCACTCGAAGAGATTTGGCAAATTTTCCAGCTGCATACGGTCGTCCATTCATAATTGATGGTTCCTTATCAGTATCCGTGAACAACAAGCACACTTCAGAATCTCGATTACCAACCTGTAAAGATCGATATTTCGATAACAATAAAACAATAGAAAAAAGTTGTATCACCTGGGATCGATCGTTAATATTGGCAGACCCAATAATGACGTGTTCATCGTCGACTATAAGTAGCTTGCAATGGACGTATATCAGCTCAGTCACCTAGACGAATTGCAACTCAAAAAATAGTGAGGATCGCCCTTATTCATAAATCCCACTAACCAGTTTTCCGCACAGGATGTCATTTGATCGTAAAGAACACACTGAGATGTAATCATGTGGGTTAGGTATGACCTGAAGCAGTAGATAGTTATCGTTTTCCTTCGCATTATTGGGACGGAGAGTCAGTTTCAACGATAGGCGTTGCCCTTTTCCAGCAAAGTTTACAGCTCATCTGTGACAAGGCCAAGCGTACGACAGCTCATTAAGTGGTTGCGAGTCGATTTATAGCGTACTACTGGTACTATTACCAGCTCCTCCCCCCTATCTACCACCGCAATCCTCTTTTACAGGCAAGCTCTGCGTTCCACCACGAGGTGTAACCCACCACCTAATGGGCTGTCTGCTAACGGGTCAATACACATCTAAACAGTAGGAGAGTATTATCATAATCAGCCTGGTTACGGCCCCCCGAGTTAGCCTCATAGCCTGAGCTCTTTAGTGTCGGTGCAGTTGTAGTACCCCTCTCTTTACAACGCTCACTATTTAGCCTTGTCCACTGCGATGCGCGTCAGGGGTTGTGTTTAGCGCAGCGCAGCCCGATTTCCACCAGTTCCATTCGCCTGTCCGCTTCAACACTTGCTGGGGAACAGGCAGCCGCCGCGCCAAACTCAACCCTCCTGCACGCCAAAGCACCCGCACCGAACAAGACAATATATTCCCGAAGTCGTCGCGTTCTTCTACTGTATCGTGCGCGCTGGGCTATCTCTAGGTGCGACTATACAGCATAACTGGCCGGCTTTCAATGGGATGACTTGGTCCCTTTTATTAAAGAGGTATTAGAGGGTGGCGACAAGCGATCGATAGCGGCAGACTGATATCTAAAGTAACACTGCATTTTCCAGACCAATCGCATTTCCGTTGTCGAAGACTTACGGATCCTAATCGGAAGTCCGATTAGGATCCCGAAGTTGTTGAGCAGTCAGCTCTTCGTGTTCTTTGATGCGCTTACTGATATAAACAGACATTTCGCAGATGAACAAACATACTGACATTCATGCCCAGAAGCTTGCAGGTTACCGACAAAGCAGGAAGTTTATACATCAGAATGGACAGGAAGACACTATTGCTTTTTATCGACCTCTTCTTCATGAAAAAAAATGCTGCGAAGGAATCGCAAAATCAAGAACATGCTTGGAACTGCGATTGCTCCTTTTTTGAACGAACACGTTGCGATTGGTACAGCCTGATTAGCTGCGGATGATGGGGTGTTTTCTACCAGTTGTTGTCATTTACCAGCTTCAAGAATTGGTGGAAGGCGAGTTTGCCACTGCGCCAAACGCAGCCGCCCTGACACGCACCATCATGCGCAGGCGTCCAGACTGTAAGCGCTCCGCCGTGTTACACGCTTTTAGTATAATATAATCCCGGGATCAGATGCATTAGCTAAACATGATGCTTCCTGTATCCAGAGCACAGACCCAAATTTGTTAAGATTCCGTAATCATAGAAGAGAAATCCTAATGGAAATCAGTCTGACATACCGCTCTCAAACGCTCGAATAACGAATTGGGACCACGACTGAGCGATAGATAAGTCCAGTGTAAAACAGCTTGCAAAGAAGATCCTCCGGGTGCTCCTACGTTCCCTTCGAAACCAGGCAGAAGTGGAATCATTATGTAAACACGGTATGGTTCTTTCTCCCTAAAAAAAGATATCCTGAACAGCCATTGTTCCAGTTTTCAAATTTACCAGAAACATACTTATACGCTCTTATAACCCGATTGCAGATCACTTTACAAATCTCATTGAGCACATCGTTCGAGTCAATCATTGATACAAAGAACTGGTTCTCGATGTAGATAAAATGCTGAAGTGAAAAATTATCAAAATCAAAGAGAATAACAGAAATCTGATTTCAAAAGAGCGATTAATCAACAATCGAAGGTCGATAAAGAAAACACCAACTAGTACCTTTGAATTGGCAATGAGGGAAAGGTAAGCCATCTGTATTGAATCTTCCGTCTGATTAATTAAACCTGACCAATTAGAGAGCGATCGAAGGACCTGAAGCGACTGGAATTACATATCGCAAGAGGCAGAGTCTATCTATCGGTGATAGGACCCTGTTCTTGAGAGTTTGAATTTGTCTTGCTAGGAAGTCAAAGAGTTCCAAACTATTACAAAAGCTTTATTACAATTACTACCGGTCATACTGCGATTACTTAAGCTATTGACTGTTGTGTATAATCATTATTTTCGTGCAGCAGTAGCGAACGCACATGGTCCGCACACTACTCTGTCTTACAAGGGAGGTCGTTCAGGGCGTGCCCCGCTTTTTCGAAACGGTTTATTGCACTTTGTAGGGCCTTGCCCATGAACCATAAAAGTGGGCTTCGTTTTGGCTGAGCGGCCCCAGGAACGCCAAAAAAGGAGCGAAAGGTACGTCTATGTACCCCCATATGAGGGACGTTAAGCGCTATACTGGCGCCAAATTGCGTCGACGTCGAAAATAAGTGTCAAAATCGT